GAAGAAACACACCAAGGCATATCATAATTACATTAGCCAAAATTAAAATGAAGGAAAGAATCCTGGAAGCAGCAAGAGCTAAGGGGACAATCACCTACAAAGGAGTCCCCATCAGGCTGTCAGCAGATTTCTCAAAAGAGACCTTACAGGCAAGAAGGGGCTGGAAAGAAATATTCCAAGTCATGAAATCTAAAGACCTACAACCAAGATTGCTCTACCCAGCAAAACTTTCATTTAGAACGGAAGGACAGATAAGGTGCTTCTCAGATAAGACCAAATTCAAGGAGTTCATCATCACCAAGCCCTTATTATATGAAATGTTAAAGGGACTTATCTAAGAAAAAGAAATTAAAGAAACATGAACAGTGAAAGGACAACAAACTCACAGTTATTAACAACCACACCTAAAACAAAAGCAAACTAAAAGGACAGCTAGAGCAGGAGTGGAAACATAGAAATGAAGATCTCAAGGAGGGTTAGCAACAGGGGAGTGGGAGGAGGAGATGGGGGGAGAAGGTACAGAAAACAAGTAGCATAGACAGTAGATAGAAAATAGATGGGGGGGGCGAGAATAGTTTGGGAAATATAGAACCTAAAGGACTTGAGACACATGGACATAAACTAAAGGGGGGTAATGGTGGGGTTGGGGGGGCAGGGTGGAGGGGAATGGAGGGGGGAATAGAACAACTGTAACAGCATAATCAATTCAAAAAAAATAAATAAATTTAATAAAAAATAAGAAAGAAAAAAAAAAGAAACCACATCATTCAGACTGGTAGGAGGGGTGGAGATACAGAACAGGCTGGTCCCACACCCACAATTGGTGGATAAAAATTTGGGAGAGCTATCTTGGGGACGAGTAGTCCCAACACCACACTAGGATCCCCAGCCCTGGGTTCCATTGCCAAGAAGATAAGACCTCATAACTTCTAGTTGCAAAAACCAGCAGGGATTGAGTCGATGGAAAAAAACTTCTGGAGTCCCAAGCAGTTTACCTTAAAGAACCCACCCACACATGGACTTACTCAGATGCACTCTCTCTGAGCTCTAGCACCTGGGGAGCTACTTGAAAGGCACCAGTGGCATAAAGTGAGGAATTGTAGTGTCTGGCATCAAGGTGGCAGCTGGTGGACAGCTTTCTCCCAGACAAAAAGATGGGCAGAGGCCATTGTCACTTTTCTGAGCCCTCCTACCATGGAGCCACAGAGCCAGCAGGTTGGGTGCCATATCTGAGACTTCATCAACCTGGCTAACACTGTTTACCCTGCCCTGGAGATTCCCTGAGACTCCATCCCACCCAATTAGCAGGCCCACCCAAGCTGTTAACCATGACTTTTCCAAATGAATGGCTGGTCTTGGCTCATGCTTCACAACTTCCTAAGTCCTCTGAAACAAGCAACAGCTAAGTGGCCCCAGGCCTGGACTAACAGCAGCCAGCCTAGATTCACAGCTTGGCTTGACCTGGGAATCTCCAAGCCCAGCACAAGTAGCAGCCATCTCAGACTGCTTCATAGCTCAGGCAAGTGGCCCCAGGCAAAACGTAAGTGGGAGCCGACCTTGGTCTATACCACCTGGGAAACCCCAGAACCTGTGCACCCAGTAGACAGATGTAGACCACTTTGGAGCACCACCACCCTGCCCCTGCACAGTTCATCTTCCATGGAAGGTGGACGTCAGTGGTCACAGCCAAATCTTGCAGCTGACTGGCCTGCGTAAATCCCTCCCATTGACCTGACAACAGCACCCAAGTCTCAACTACAAGAGGAGGGTGTACTCAGCCCACACGAAAGGTGCACCTTCCGTACCCAGCATGGGTGATAGGGGAGGCTGTGCCTCTGGACCCTACACAACACCTACTATTATATTAGGCCACACTACAAAGATAGGGAATCAAAGCAGCTCTACCTAATATATAGAAACAAACACAAGGAGGCTGCCAAAACAAGGAGACAAAGAAACATGGCCCAAATGAAAGAACAGATTAAAACTCCCTAAAAAGAACTAAACAAAATGGAGATAAGCAATCTATCAGATGCAGAGTTCAAAACACTGGTTATAAGGATGCTCAAGGTGAGGACTTCTGCAGCATAAAAAAGATCCAGTCAGAAAACAATGATAAACTAACTGAAATAAAGAACAATGTACAGGGAAGCAACAGTAGAGTGGATGAAGCCGAGAATCAAATCAATGATTTGGAACATAATGAAGCAAAAAACCCATCAGAACAATAAGAAGAAAAAAGAATCCAAAAAAATGAGGAGAGTGTAAGCAGCCTCTGAGACAACTTCAAGAGGTCCAATAGTCACATCATAGGAGTACCAGAAGGAGAAGAGAAAGAGCAAGAAATTGGAAGTCTAGTTGAAAAAATAATGAAAGAAAACTTCCCTAATTTGGTGAAGGAAATAGACATTCAAGTCCAGGAAGCACAGAAAAGTCCCAAACAAGATGGATGCAAAGAGGCTCACTCCAACGCACATCATAATTAAAATGCCAAAAGTTAAAGAGAGAATCTTAAAAGCAGCAAAAGAAAAACAGATAATTGCCTACAAAGGAGTTCCCATAAGACTGTCAGCTGATTTCTCAAAAGAAATTTTGCAGGTAGAAGGGATTGGCAAGAAATATTCAAAGTCATGAAAAGCAGGGACCTACAGCCAAGATTGCTCTCCCCAGCAAAGCTATCATTTACAATCAAAGGGCAGGTAAAATGCTTCCCAGACAAGAAAAAACTAAAGAACTTCACCATCAGCAAACCATTATTGTATGACATGTTAAAGGGACTCATTTAAGAAAAAGAAGATAAAAAATATGAAAAATGAAATAGCAAAAAATACATGATCAACAATTGAATCTAAAAAAACAAACTAAGCAAGCCAGAAGAACAGAGACAGAATCATGGATACAGAGAGAATTTAGTTGGTTGCTAGATGGGAGGGGGTGTAGGGGAATGGGCGAAGAGGTGAGGGGATAAAGAAGTACAAATAGGTAGTTACAGAATAGACATGGGGATGTAAAGTACAGTACAGGAAATAGAATAGCCAAAGAACTCACACACATGACCCATGGACATGAACAGTGGTATAGGGATTGACTGAGGGAGGGAGGGTGCTGGATGGAAGGGGCCAAAGGGGGAAAAATTGAGACAACTGCAATAGCATAATCAATAAAATATAATTTAAGAAATAAAAATTAAAAATAAGTAGAAAAGAAATAACACCAGTTCTACACAAACTTCCCAAACCATTGAAAAGGAAGGAATTCTTCCAACTTAGTTTTTGTTACTAGTATCATCATTGTCATCATCAGGTTGGCATTGCCCTGATACCCCCCTAACCAGATAAAGGCATTACTAAAAAACTACAGACCAGGAACTCTGTTGAATATAGACACAAAAATTCTAAACAACTCCATATCTAAAATGAAGAAGAAAACAATGACAATGACAATGACGTCATAACGAAGTGGAGACTAACACAGGAATACAGCTTTGTTTATAATAGCCAAATGCTAGAAACAATTCAGTGGGTGAATGGATAAACAAAATGATATATCCATACAATGGAATACTCAGCAAAAATAATAGACTATTGATACGTGCAACAAGGGTTGCATCTGACATTGTGAGTGAAAAAAAATGCGACAAAACTTTGCTTTGATGATGGGCACAGTATGCAGATGATATTTTGTTGAGTTGTGCATTTAAAATCTGTATGGTTTTTGTTAACCAATGTTACCCCAATAAATCAATTAAAAATAAATTAATTAAATTTAAACTAAATAATAAAATGAGCATTTTATCCATTCAATATTTTTTAAAAGAGTACATACCATATGAGTTTATTTATATGCCAGCTAAAGCCTATATCAGTTAGTTGCTTGGGGATGAGGGGGCAGAACATAGAGGGATGCGAGAAGATTACCAGCAGGCATGAGGAAACTTTTTGTGGGAGTGGATATATTCACTCTCCTGATTGTGGTGATGTTTTCACACATATAGATATACTTGTACACTTTAAATAACTATATGCCAATTATACTCATACATCAATTAAAATTTTTAAATGATTAAAAACATGAAAAATAAAACAACCTGGGAAATGCAATTACAAGATTAAAAAACACTATATAAAATGTATGTATACTATTATTATAGTAATCAAAATACCAAAAATAATTTTGTCATGGCACAGTGGGATAATGGATGGTTTTCTCCCCTATTATCAATATTTTCTTTAATGTTTTCCTACCTTTTATAATTAAAATTGCAGCAAAGCCAAAAATATAAAAACAAGTGCCAGTCCTCAGTGGATGGCTTGCTTGGTTGGAGCACTGTCCTGTACACCAAAAGGTTGGAGGTTCAATCCCTGGTCAGGGCACATACCTGGGTTGTCGGTTTAATCCCCGATCAGGGTGCATATGGAAGGTAACCAATTGATGTTCGTCTCTCTCTTTCCCTGTCCCTTCCTCTCTCTCTATAAAATGAATAAACTTGCCCTGACTGGTGTAGCTCAGTGGATTGAGCATGGGCCTGCAAACCAAAGGATCATGGTTCTATTCCCAGTCAAGGCACATGCCTCAGTTGCAGGCCGGTTCCCAGCGGGGGACTCACGAGAGGCAACCATACATTGATATTTCTCTCCCTCTATCCTTCTCTTCTCCTCTAAAGATAAATAAATAAAATCTTTTAAAATAAACAAATAAATAGCCCTGGCTGGTGTAGCTCAGTGGATTGAACGCGGGCCTGCAAGCCAGACAATCGCGGTTCGATTCCCAGTCAGGGCACATGCCTGGATTGCAGACCAGTTCCCAGCAGGGGACACACGAAAGGCAACCATACATTGATGCTTCTCTCCCTATCTCCTTCCCTTCCCCTCTAAAGATAAATAAATAAAATCTTTTTTTAATATATAAATAAATAAAATGAATAAACTTATTTAGGGGTAAGGATTAAAAAATTAAAAAGAAGTGCCATCTCATAGTAATTCTATTTTTACTTTTTACAGGGAATCACTTTAAAAATGAATGAGCTAAATCATTGTATTGTTGCAAGAATTATGCATGGGGGCATGATTCACAGGCAAGGTAAGTTTCACATATGATCTTTTCTTTCCTTCATTAACTTTTTTTCCTGTAGCCTAGTGAAGAAAGTGTTTTTATAAGCTATATAAAAGATCTGTTAAATATATGGTCCATATAAGTGATCCGTTCAAGTTTCTTTTGGTTTTAATCTTTGTTGGCCTCCATTTCTTCTTATTCATCTGCACATGCTCCGGCCTATAGATAATGGAGGGAGGGTGTGTTACAGTTCTGTTGCTGGAGCATCTGTGAACCACTGTTTAGTCCTGACTTATTAGATAAGTCAGGACCATGAAAGATAAAGCAAAGTATTCTGTTGGGCCGTAGGATATATGGAAGACATCTATTCTGGGATGTAAGATACATATTTTGAAAGTTAAATCACAGTTCAAGAATTGTTCTCTTCATTCAGAAATGACATGTACTATTTATAAATTAAGAAATTAGAGTTTCATAAATAACAACATAAAAATTCAATGGTAAGATCAAACTGATGGTTGCCAGAAGGGAGAGGAGTTGGCGAGGGGGGCTGCATGAAAAAGGTGAAGGGATTGAGTTACAAATTTGTAGTCACAAAATAGTGACAGGATATAAAGTACAGCATAGGGAATATAGTCAATAATGTTGTAATAACCATGTATGGTGCCAGGTGGGCACTTGAAATATCAGAGGGACAATTTTGTAAAGTATGAGATTGTCTAACTATTGTGCTATACACCTGAAACTAATGCAAAATAATATTGAATGGCAACTATAATTGAAAAAATATTTAATTTAGTGGTAAAATAAGATATCTCAAATCTTTGATTAAGTTTTTAATACCTACTACAGTAAAGTACAGTCATTCTGAGGAGGGAATTCACTAAGGACTGAAGTAGACAAAAATGATTTTGTTGAAGAAGTGGAATTTTCATTAACCTTCGGGTGGGCTTCTCTGTGAAAGGGCTGAGTTATATGTACTAGTACTTAGAGCGTGATCCAAAAATTATTCTCTTGTCCAAAATTAGACTTCCTTTCTTTGATATTAGGCTATTTTTGTACTTAACACCTTATTTTCTTCACCTCAGAGAGCAAGAAGTAACACCATAAGCATTTAAGTGCCTCCCTGTCCTCTCTAGAGATGACCGTTGATACATGGTCATCTGCTGTGTCACTACTGCTGCCTTCAGGGGAATCTTTATAGGTAGGGAGCAGACAGCATTCACACAGGAGGACGTTTGGTTTTCAATCCCAGTATGAATTTTTTGTTTATTATTTTTAATTATTTGCTGTGACCTCAGAAAAGCCACAATATCATTATTTCTTTAATCTCTTTTTCTTTTATGACTGCACTGGCTAGGATCTCCTGTCTTATAGAAGTGGCATAGTGGCATCCTTGTCCTATTCTTGTTTTTAAAAGGTAGCTTTCCAAGGTTTCCCCATGAAGACTAACATTTACTGTACATTTTTTAGTAGATAACATTTTTTTAGGGCTGAAAAAGTTCCCTTTTATTCTTAGTTGCTGAACATTTTATTTATGATTGGGTATCGAATTTATCAAGTGCTGTTTCTGCATCTGTTGAGATGATCATTTGGTTTTTTTCCTTATATCTGTTAGTGTGGTGAGTGACTTTTAAAGATTTCCTCATGATTAGATTCCCTTGCATTTCTTAGATAAACCCAGCTTAGTCATTGTAGATTATCTTTTATACGTACTATTAAACTCTGTGTGCTAACATTTTGTTTAGGACTTTATGTTTGCAATTATGATTGAGACTGGCCTGTAGTTAATTTTTTTCTTGTGTTTTTCTGTCTCATTTTAGTGTTGAAGTTACTTTAGCTTCCTAGAATGACTTAGATAGCCCTTTTTCTTCATGAAGTTCTCTGAAAGAGTTTGTATAACATTGGAGTGATTTATACCTGGAAACTCTAATAGACCTTGCCTATAAAACTATCAGAGCCTAGTGTTTTGTTTTTGTTTGGTATTTAGGAAAGCTTTTTCTTTTTACAACTACTTCAATTTCTTTAATATCCATAAGGCTATTCAGGCTTTCTGTATTCTTTCTGGGTTTTGGTTAATTACATTTTCCTTAAAAATCTTAAAATTTTAAAAATTATTTCAATAAGTTCCTTCATAACTTTTTATTTTCTGTCATCTCTGTGATTGTCCCCTTGTTCATTCCTAATATGCCTTACTTGTTCTGTGTCCTTTTTCTCTTAATCACCTCTTCCAGAGGTTTAGTCAAACACACACTTTAACATCTGTTAATTGTTTCTTTTTTAAAGTACATTTTACTGACTATACTGTTAGAGTTGTCCTATTTTTTTTCTTCCCTTTACCTCCCTCCACCCTGCACCACCCCTCCCTCCAACATTCTCTGCCCTTAGTTCATGTCCATGGCTCATACATGTAAGTTCTTTGGCGTCTCCATTTCCTATACTATTCTTAACACCTCCCTGTCTATTTTGTGCCTACCATTTATACTTCTTATTCCCTGTACCATTTCCCCCACTCTCTCTGAGCCCCTCCCCACTGATAACCCTCTACACGATCTCTGTTTTTGTAATTATTTCCCTGTTTCAATTGTTTGCTTAGTTCATTTTTGTTTTTGCTTTTTAGGTTCAGTTGTTGATAAATGTGAGTTTGTTGTAATTTTACTGGAAGTAATATAAGTTCATAGTTTTGAACTTCTTCTTTTTCTTAGATAAGTCCCTTTAATATTGCATATAATAAGGGTTTGGTGATAATGAACTCTTTTAACTTGACCTTACCTGGGGAGCACTTTATCTGCCTTTCCATTCTAAATGATAGCTTTGCTGGATAGAGTAATCTTGGATGTAGGTCCTTGCTTTTCCTGACTTTAAATACTTCTTTCCAAATAAATAAATAAATAAATAAATAAATAAATAAATAAATGCTTCTTTCCAGCCCCTTCTTAGCTGTAAGGTTTAATTTTTTAATTATTTTATTTTATTTTAAAGGTTTCTTTATTTATATTTAGATAGCAGGGAAGGGAGGAAGAGAGGAAGAGAAACATCAATGTGTGGTTGCCTCTCATGCACCCACCACTGGGGACCAGGCCCACAACTTGGACATGTGCCCCGACTGGGAATCCAACTGGCAACCCTTTGGTTCACAAGCTGGCACTCAATCCACTGAGCCACACGAACCCAGGCCTTGCCTGTAAGGTTTCTTTTGAGAAATCAGCTGATAGTCTTATGGGAGCTCCTATGTAGGTAACTCTCCCCTTTTCTCTTGCTGCTTTTAAGATTTTCTCATTTTTAATCTTGGGTAATTTAATTATGATGTGTCTTCTTGTGTTCCTCTTTGGGATTCTCTGAGCTTCCTGGGCTTGGCATGTCTATTTCCTTCATCATATTAGGGAAGTTTTCCTTTATTATTTTTTCTTTTTCTTTTTTTTCTGAACTAGAAAATCTATTTATTTTTATTTATTTTTAATTATTTTATTGATTATGCTGTTACAGTTGTTCTATTCCCCCCTTCATTCCCCTCCACCCTACCCCCCATCCCCACCATTACCCCCCTTTAGTTTATGTCCATGTGTCTCAAGTTCTTTAGATTCTATATTTCCCATGCTATTCTTGCCCCCCCATCTATTTTCTATCTACTGTCTATGCTACTTATTTTCTGTACCTTCTCCCCCCTTCTCCTCCTCCCACTCCCCTGTTGCTAACCCTCCTTGATCTTCATTTCTATGTTTCCACACCTGATCTAGCTGTCCTTTTAGTTTGCTTTTGTTTTAGGTGTGGTTGTTAGTAACTGTGAGTTTGTTGTCCTTTCACTGTTCATGTTTCTTTAACTTCTTTTTCTTAGATAAGTCCCTTTAACATTTCATATAATAAGGGCTTGGTGATGATGAACTCCTTGAATTTGATCTTATCTGAGAAGCACTTTATCTGCCCTTCCATTCTAAATGAAAACTTTGCTGGATAGAGCAATCTTGGATGTAGGTCTTTGGATTTCATGACTTAGAATACCTCTTTCCAGCCCCTTCTTGCCTGTAAGGTCTCTTTTGAGAAATCTGCTGACAGTCTGATGGGGACTCTTTTGTAGGTGACTGTCCCCTTATCTCTTGCTGCTTCTAGGATTCTCTCCTTCATTTTAATCTTGGCTAATATAATTATGATGTGCCTTGGTGTGTTCCTTCTTGGGTCCAACTTCTTTGGGACTCTCTGAGCTCCCTGGATTTCCTGGAAGTCTATTTCCTTTGCCAGATTGGGGAAATTCTCCTTTATTATTTGTTCAAATAAGTTTTCCACTGGTGGCTTTTCCTTTCCCCCTTCTGGTACCCCTATAATTCAGATGTTGGAGCGTTTAAAGATGTCCTGGAGGTTCCCAAGACTCTCCTCATTTCTTTGAATTCTTGCTTCTTGACTCTTTTCTGTTTGGCCATTATTTGCTTTCTTCTGGTCCACTCCATCGATTTGAGTCCCAGTTTCCTTTTCATTGCTATTGGTGTCCTGTGCAATTCCATTCATTTCAATTAGTTTCGCCTTCATATATTTGTCTAATTTGTGGCTATAATCAACCAGTTCTGTGAGGATCCTGATCACCAGTGTTTTAAACTGTGCATCTGAGAGTTTTGCTATTTCATCACTTAGATTTATAGGCTCTGGGGCTTTGAGATCCTCTTGAGCCATTTTTGGTCTGTTTGTGCCCTTTAAGTATGAGAAGCGGAGCCTTGGACTCCCAGGTTGCTGGGTAGTGATGCTGTATGTGGGGGCGTGGTCAGAGCGGGGAAATGGCCGCACCCTCTGCTGTTACGTGCAGCTGGGTGAGGAGCAGAGGCTTAGGTGGTTCACCCGGGCCGGGCCACTCAGAGTTTCTGGGTTATGACGCTGTATGTGGAGGTGGGGTCTGAGCAGGGAAATGGCGGCGCCCTCCCTGCTGCTTGCCGCGGGGACCGGCTGGGTCCTGGTCCAATCGCCCACTCCCTCGCTTGTCTATCCACGCACAAATGCACGACCACAGTCAACCCACAGCCCTGCTCCCTCGCTGTTTCCCT